AAAAAAAAAAAAAAAAAAAGAACAAAACAAGCACAAAGAAACCCCAAATGTCAACAATGGGGTTTTACTTTTCCTAATTATTGGCAGGTAAAAATAAAGTTAGGATATGTTTTATTTACTAACTAAAATATGGAAAATTAAGATACAAAGATCTATGACTGAAACCATAGGATAGGTGGAAATAGTAACTACTGTATGGAAAGTCCACATTTTAGAAGAAGTGATTAATAAAAAAGAAAATCCACAGATAATCAAAGACAGCAAGACTATATTAATAGTGACAGGTACTCCTAGGATCCCTGCTGGCCCTAGCTTCCCCATCCTTCTCCACTGAATGTGTTGCTGAAGTGTAGCAGGTTTAGCCAGGCATGGCGGCACACACCTGTAATCCTAGCACTGGGGAGGCTCAGGGAGGACTACTAATAGTTTATGTCAGCTTCAGCTACACAGTGAGTTCAGGGCCATACAGACCCTGAACTACATATGGAGTCCCTGTCTCAAAAAAAAGTATGGCAGTGGGAATGCACCAAGCCCTAGTAAGATCCAGAATGGTTACATGGTCCTGCAAGATTTATACCACTTTTGAGATCCCCAAATGAACCATTTGTATGGAAGTTGTCTAAAAACAGAGCCAGGTTAAACTGGGCAGGGTGGCACAATCCTGTAATTCCAGCACACGGAGGCTGAGGAAGGACTGCTGTGAGTTCAAGTCCAGCCTGCATTGTTCAGGACTAGCCTGAACTATAAACCAACACCATCTCAAAAAATAAAGACCAAGAAAAAAAAAGAGGCATGTTAGATGAAGGTTGCCTAGTACAACGAAATGATGGAGAAGGAATGACTGCTTGGATACCTCTTCTTCAAACCCCATAGAATCTTTTCCAGGACACTAAATCTTTTATTTGAAGATGTTGCCTACATTCTAATGGTCAACTTTCTACTACATAAGTATTTTATATCTTAATTCTAAGGTTTACTCAAATTCTTTCAGGCTAATATCTGCTAATATATCTCATATATACAATTTTAAGCTCTTCAGCAATTTTCAAAGCCCTATCCAAACACAATCTGCTTTTACATTTCTATTACTAATATTCACAATCCAGATCAGATACGATCAAAAGTGCTTCTCTGTGGAGAGATCCACTACCCTTCTTACGTTCTACTATAAGCTTATACATCTAGCTAAACTCTGCCATCTTTTCTTCCCTTGACACTCTGCTACAGTTTTGGCCATCTAGTTCAGACAACTCTTGCTTGAGATACATCTTTACCATTGGTCTTCTCAGAAGTCATTTTTTTTCAGCAGCGTTTCCTGCAAAATGCTAGGTCATACTGTGTGCTACTAGGTACAACACCTGTCTCTAAACTCCTGAAATGATTTCCTATTCCTCATTTCAACTGTGACTTTCAACGATGAATTTCAAGCATGTCATGGCTTAGCAGTTTTAACTTTAAGGAAGAAGAGTTCCTTTAAAAAGCCTGGGCGGGGGCTGGTGAGATGGCTCAGTGGTCTAAAGCACCTACTTAGAACAAGCTTAGCAAAGCACAGGGACCACGGTTCAATCCCCCAGCACCACATGCCAGCCAGCCCCGCCCCCTGGTGGGCTGAGCTGGCCACATACACATAAATTAAAAAAATAAAATAAAAGCCTGGGCGGGCTGGGTGCTCAGTGGTGTAAGTGCCTGCCTATAAGTGCTAGGTCCTGAGTTAAATTCCTGGTACAAAAAAAAAAAAAAAAAGCAGAGCAGAGTCCTGAAAACATTTTTCCTCTTCTCTGTCCCATTTTTTGGGCTGCTCAAGCTTTACTAGAACCTTGAATTCCTATCCTGATTTTGCTTTTTTTTGGGGGGGTGTAAAATCTTAATAGCTGTTTGTTATTGTTAAATCTTTTTCTTCATTTCACACACTAAGAATTGAACTCAGGGCCATTTCCCTGAACTATACCATTCCTTTCAATTTTTTTGAGATAGGTTCTTGTTAAATTGCTCATGCTGGGCTTGAACTCTCAATCCTCCTGCATTAGCCTTCCAGAGTGCTAGAATACAGTCCCGCCACAGCCCCCTGGCTTACTGTTAAATTTCTAGGCCCTCAGGAGGCTCAATCCAAGCTAGACTATTATCTCTCATAAATGCTCCTTATTTGATGATCTCTTGATTTTTAATTATTTTATTTCCACTAATTTTTTATTTTAAGTCCTAGTCAACTCATTTTTCTAAGCCCAAGCACATCTTTTCAAGCAACCCATTCCAAGTTTTACTTGTTCTGAACTCAAAGAGAAAGCAAGCATCCTTTAATTAAAAATGCACATGGCAAATTTGGAGAGAGAAGTGCTCTTCTGCCCTCTCAAATCATTCAACACACTATGCGGCATTCTGTTGGGTTATCAATACACTTGGACGATCAACCAGTTTCCTTATCAACATTTTCAGATATCACTTTAAGTCTTCAGCATACAGACCTTGTCAAACATATTGTTATCAAACATTAACAAGCTGTCTCCTAACGCTGATACCTTTCATTATAGCTACCACTGTCATGAAGGCAAATAATTTAAATTACATCTGATCTTCCTTTTCTATGTGAAAGAAAAAAAATGAAGAGAAATTAAGTAATTTGTCTATAGGCACTTTAGTATGCAGCCAAGTTAGACTCAGGTTGATCCAGCTTCAGAAACCCACCCCCCTAACAAAAGCTATCATGAAAACCTAGTTGGCCTCAATTTCAACTCACATATCTGACATGTATAACAGCTAACATCTCCCCTTTATAGTCTTTAAAAACTGGAGGTTCTGGTACAAAAAAATAATTTTCTAAGCCTTTCATAATAATTTTTTAAGTCTTTTATACTAAATATTCATAATACTTTACTGAAGTCACTGTCCTCAGCAAGATAATTCTTACTAACAAAATGTTAGCTATCAGTTTTTTTCACATGTGCAACTTAAATACTTTAGGTATCTTTTTTAACTTCTCAAGGGTCAGTTACTACTGGGGAGAAAACTACAGTTCTACAAGACTTGTACTTTTTAAAGTCAAAGGTTCCAAGTTGGGAGTGGTGGTGTATACCTGTAATCCCAACAACTAGGGAGACTGAAGCAGGACTGCTGTGAGTTCTAGGCCAGCCTTAGCTACATAAGCGAATTCAAGGCCAGCCTACACTGCATAATGAGACCCTGTCTCAAAAAACAAAAAAGAAGGGCTGGGGATACAGATAGTTCAGTGGCGCTGAGCTTCCCTGGCAAACTCCAGGTCCTGAGTTCAATTCCCAGTACAAAAAAAAAAAAAAAAAAACAAAGGTACCTCTAAGTATCCAAAATTTAGTGCTCCAAAATGTTGCCCTCGGTTCCTCGATTTTTTTTTTTTATATATATCTATGCTAAGTCTTACTTAACCAATTTCTAGTTTTCCTCGTTGAGTATTTTCTTCAGGCACTCACTTGTTTTCCTTAAAATCTATAGCCCTGCTTTGCCAAAGCAGATTAGGAACACTGATACAGACCACACTGGAGAGGCAGAAAGTCGACTATTTCGAGGCCGGTGTCTCCACCAGCATTAACTCGTTGACGCGGGCACTAGCTGGGATGGCCACTGTTTTCTAACAAATTCCTCAACAGGACAGCAATTTTTTGGCAAGTTGGAGAACGGAAACCACAGCATGGAAACTCTGCACGGAATCTTCAAGATAACCAGTAAAGACTTTACCCTCGCAGAGAGAACGGTGAGGGCTTTCAGCATGGCAAAACGATACTTTCGAAACTGTCACTAGACTACTCAAAGTGTAGTCTCCCGCTCAAATAAGTGTGGCACATGAAAACCTCAAAGAAGGGCGCGCTCCAGAGCTCACGTCTCTGGGAAAGACGTATGGGGACCGTCTGAGCCTTTAGTCTTGGGAAGAGGTGAAAAGAGGGCAGGAAAACCTGTTTGTTTATTTCCAACAGTACTGAGCGCGGGAAAGGTCCCTTCCCAAAGCCTGGGAAGGGAAAACTCTGGCCTCCCGGGGCCCCGCAGCCCAGCCCCAACGGGCTTCCTCCTTCTGGTCCCACTCCAGTCCACGCCACCGCTCCCATTATCCCGCTGCCACCCCCGCCCGCGCAGGCGCAGTGGGAGCCGGGCCTATCCGCGCCCCCGAGCGCCGCGACCATGGCGGACTCCGAGAAGGCCGGCGACGGTTCGCGCAGGGCAGGCATTCCGCTCCCGTTCCCGCGGCTTCCCCGCCACCGCCAGGGCCCCGTATCCTCTCCCTATGGCCGGGCCCACTTCCGTCCTTCTCACCCGTTCTTCAGATCCACCTCCAAGATCTTCCCGTAGCCCTTAAAGAAGCGCTCCACATCGCGCTCCCGGGCCTGGTAGCTCAGACGACCGATGTACACGCGCGGCATCCCGGCAATGGCGGTGGCGGCTAGGCCCGGCCCGGGCCCCCCTTAGGCGGCGGCCGGAGAAGCAAGAACACGGCGGCAACGGGCGGGCAGGCGGGCGGCCGGACGCAGCCGAACCCCGGCGACGTACGCGAGCACGTAGCTCGAGAGCGCGCGCCTCCGCTTACCCCGCCCTACCCCCCTCAGGCGGAGGGTAACGGGAGAGAGCGCGCGTTCGCTTCCCGCCTGGCCAGGGCTGGGGGCGGGGCGTACCCAGGGGGCGCGGCGCGGCGCGGCAGGGCGGGGCATGGTGATCGACAAGCGGTCCCCCGCACGTCCTCTCGCGAGTTCGCCGAGGCGCCTGCGCGACTTTTCTCAGCCCGCCAGCTTCGCCCGCCCTCCCGGAAGTGTCTGTGGTCGCAGCCTGAGTTCCCGCTTTTGTCCTTTGAACCGGGTGTAGTTTCCGACTTCACACAAGCTATTAGAATGAGCCCTGGCTTTCAGATGGTTGTGTATGTGTGACCTTGGGCTCCTAACGCTTGTCTGTGAGTTCCTGTAGTCTTTTCTGTCGAAGAGTGCTAGTACTTCTGCCTTCCGTAGTAGCCTGGAGAATTATATGAGAAGAGGTCCGCGCAACACTTAGTACTCTTCTTGCAATTCTAAGTGATCAAAAAATGATGCCTTATTATTGCTAACTTTTTTTTTTTTTTTTTGCCGTGCTGAGACCCAGGGCAAGTGTACCTTTGAGCTACACTTCCAGCTCACTATGTTGTTATTATTATTATTATTGTTATTGTTATTTGCGGTACTGGAAATTGAACACATAGCCTTCACATTTAGCTACATCCCCAGCGCCTTAAAAAAAATTCCTACAGCCTTTCTTATTTATTTTGAGACAACATACCAATAAATTGTACACCGATTAGTGTTTTTAAAAACAGGACACTTTGCTTAAATAAAAAGTGACTAGAATTTTGAGTTAGTGTCGGTGTGACACTGACCAATCTAACCTATTTTCAAACTTGTAAAATTATTTATACACATCTCAGTGGACTACCGCGGTGACCACAGGACAGTTTGTGGAAGTGTCGTACTTGCTTACATATGACGCAGAGCTTTACAAAATGAAGGTTGAGTTTTGGTCTATTTTGAGTTCCTTGTTGTAACTTATCTGTAGGCTTAAACGAAGGGTTTTAGCAAAAACTGCTTCAAGTCCCTGACAGTCTCAGAAGAAAATATAAATCATTCTTTTCATGAGTAACAGGTTAAGGACCTAGAAGTCTGTGCATCTCTTGTCCCTGTGGTGGACTCTGACTCTATAGTGTCAGCAGTGCTTGTTCTGGAGTGTGGGGGTCAGTAAGTATTAGTTCCCATCCCACTTAATGTGCCACCAAGAGGTTGGGTGTGTGTGTGTGCGCGCTCAAAATATTATGAAAAATTTGAAAGGATAACTGAAAATTGAAAAAAAAAAATGAAGTTTTCGTTTTCTGACTCTCAGCCACTGTTTCCTTACCAGAAGTAGCTTTTTAATGCCCTTCAGAGGTTCCATGTAAAGCAAATAGAACTACACCTACGTTTCTTTTTTTCTCATCTATGTTTTTTTTTTTGACCTTTAATCACACAGAGCAGCTGTCCCCTTTTACATCACTGACAAACTGTGCCAGAGATAAAGGATTTCTAGTACAGTGTGGTCATAAAAAGATCGTTTCTGGAGTAAACAAGTGACATTTTATAAGGAAAATTATTGACGCAGGCAGTCATACATAATTCAAATGCAATACAGTTTATACAGAATTCAGGATTCATGGTAACACAAGACTTATTAGTCCTAAATTTACCCAAGCTATCTCATCTGCCTTTAAAACTAAGGATCAAAATAAGAATAAGGTGTTTTTAAGATTTTCAGGGATATTCATTCCCATGTTTTATAATGCTCTGCTCCAGGCCCTTTGGACCAGTACCTAAAATCTCCAGTCATTATCCTAAATCTGTAGTTACCTTGAATTCCAAGAAAAGCAGAGCCTCAGAGATTGTCACCTCAAGACAAATTGAGGTTGGGTGCCCCATAAAAGGAGGAGCAATCATTTGCTGGAAATCAAATGGGTTACTTGAACCAAAAAGACTTCTCAGGAGCCCACCTTGCAGAACTGGTCCTGAGATAGATCAACCAAACTGTCACCAATCAGTTGAGGTTTCTTTTATTCAGACAGAAATCATGAATCAGCAAAGTACACCTCTGCTAGTTAGTGTCCCGGTTGACACCAGAGGTGTCACCCTGTTGACACCAGTTAATGCCAGTTATGGGTCAGTACTGCTGTTTACTGATCTCTGCTGCCGGTGGCCACTGCCAGTTGACACTAGCTTGTGTTAGACACCATTGGTCCACTCTGTGAGTTGCTGGTTAACTGCTGGTCTGCTTATCTTTGTTGGTTTCTGGTCTTTGGAGCTCTCTCAATAGCAGCCCCTGGTGTTTATGGCTCTTTCTTTTAATGGAACTTCTCTGTTCACACTACTCAGAATGAAAATTTCCAGGACTTTCTGAGCACCTACCACCTCCTTCCAATTATCTCATTGAGGCCTCCAAATGAAACGGGAAATAAATGTAACTCCCAATCTGCTAGATGTCAGATGTGCTGAGTTCACATATCCCAAAGTCAAAGAATAAATTCTACAGAGCAACCAAAGTTAAGAGTAAGAAAACTATTGAGAGAGTTCCTGAGAGATAGGAAGGGACCTAAAAGTGGGGTGCTCCACCTACATTTCTTGGCTTAATATATTTCAGAAATTATTCCAAAAGAATACAAAAGGAGGGCTGACAAAATAGTGGATTAAGCACCTGCTTAGGCAAGCACAGGGAAAAAGGTTCAACCTCCACATGTGTGCCACGCCAGCCCCGTCCCCAGATGTGCTGAATCTCTGCCCAGGGCATTGTGGCTCATGCCTGTAAGACCAGCTCTGGGGAGGCTGAAAACAGGAGGATCATTATGAGTCCAAGCTGAAAAAAAAAAGAGCTCCCATAGGACTATTTTTATGGTTCTTAATATACCATTTTATAGTCAGTAATTTATTTAATCAGTGCTTTAATGAAGAACATTGAGATAGGCCCCAACATTTTGGTATTGGAATTGCTGAGTAACCTTGAGTACTCATATGTAGATCTACTTCTGGAAGTAGGATCATTTGAGTCAAAGGCCATGGGAATATGTGAGTTTGATAGATACTGCTCAATACTGAACCCTGTTCCTGTTGCCTAGTATCATCAATATTGCTATCAAGTGTTTGACCTTTGTCAACCTGATAGGTTAAAAAAAAAGGTATGTTCTGGTGGTTTAATTTGCAATTTATCTTGAGTGCAGTGAGCTTCTCATGTTTAACACAGTTATATTTTCCTTTGTTCATAACTTGTCTATATTATTAT